ACAAAAAGCATCAGTTTCACTATCCAAAATGATGATAATTGAATCCACAAACCCATCTAAATGAACATCTAAATGAACAGACCAACAAACAACTCTAAACATCAGCCAATTTCTAGTTTCATCCTCTCTCCATTTTTGTACTAAACCCTAAACACAAAAAACAAAGACACTCAACGGATTGATATATCATCTTATGCTACACATCAAATCAAAGACAAACCCAGAGCAACATACAAAACGATTGAAACCCATAAGAAATCAATCGTAAACATATACATAGGAGAGAGAGGAAGCTTACGGGAGAGAGAGCTTGAGGCGTCGAGGGAGAGAGCTTGAGGCGTTGAGAGAGAGAAGCTCGATGCGTCGGAGAGAGAGAGAATGAGTGCTTGAGGCGTCGAGGGAGAGAGCTTGAGACGTCGAGAGAGAGAAGCTCGATGCGTCGGAGAGAGAGAGAGAGAGAGAGCTCGAGCTCGTGGCTGCGTGCGTCAGGAGAAGCTCGTGGCTGCGTGCGTCAGGAGAAGCTCGTGGCTGCGTGCGTCGGAGAAGCTCGAGGCTTCGTCGGAGAGTGAGATGAGCTCGAGGTTGGTCGGAGATGGAGATGAGATCGAGGTTGGTCGGAGATGGAGAAGATCGAGGCTGGAAGGAGATGAAGATTGAAGAGGAGATCTGCGTCAAATGGAGTTGCGGCTGCGTCTATCAGGGTTAGGTTTGTTTGTAAATACTAAATAACGTTAAGGNCGGAGAAGCTCGAGGCTTCGTCGGAGAGTGAGATGAGCTCGAGGTTGGTCGGAGATGGAGATGAGATCGAGGTTGGTCGGAGATGGAGAAGATCGAGGCTGGAAGGAGATGAAGATTGAAGAGGAGATCTGCGTCAAATGGAGTTGCGGCTGCGTCTATCAGGGTTAGGTTTGTTTGTAAATACTAAATAACGTTAAGGCCAAAAAGGTAAATTACCTTTCTAGCCGCATCATTTGCATCACAGACGCTAGATTTTTCGGCGTCAAACGCAGAAGATGGCGTCAACCGCGGCGTCTAAACGCAGGAGATGGCGTCACGCAAACGAACAAAAAAATTTAAAAAGATAGCCGCAGCCGCAGGTAGCTGCGGCTGCCAAACGAACAACCCTTAAGTAGTATTCAAGAGTTTTGACTTAAATAAAGCTCTTCAAATTTTGTTTGAGAGATGGCCCAATATAGCTACACTTGTACTACTCATAACATGCCTTGGCCCCTGCTGAAACCAACGGCCCAATATAACTACACTTTTGTACTTATCACGCTTCCACCGCCGGTGCCGATGAACCGTCTCTTCCCTGGGTGTCTACGATGAAGTCTTGATCAAAATCCTATCCGGAGAGTCACGACTTCTCGTCTTTTAGTGACCTCGGGATTCCGAAGGCTCCATTAGTATACACTCTGTTCGTTTGGTAGGACTTGATTAAGTCTGCTTTTTGCTTCTTAGAAAAGTCAGTGACTCGCCAACATCTCTGCTGGGAAGGTTTTTAAGGATGAACCGTAAGCTCAACCCAGCTGTCGAAGCAAGTGAAGCTCCAAGGACAGCTCGTGTCCGTGTCCAAGAACCGGATCTGTTACGAAAACATTCACTCACCTTGATTGGGAAAGTGACAAACCGCTCGGTTCAAAAGGTTCCCTCCCTAATCCCATTTTTCACAGAGTACTGGAAGAAACAAGAGATGATTAGAACAGTGGGCTCGGATTTGGGCCAAGGCTTGTTTCAGTTTCAGTTCGATTCAGAGTCAGATCTGCTCACTATACTTGAAAACCGCCCCTACCACTTTGCGAAATGGATGGTCATCTTACAGCGTTGGGAACCCACAATCTCCCATTCTTTCCCGTCACTGATACCTTTCTGGATAAAAATCGAGGGCATTCCAGCTCATCTATGCACAGAAGAAACCATCAGAAGCATAGGAGAAGATATTGGTCACTTTGAATCCTCAGATATCTCCTCGTCGCTACGTATGAGAGTTCATGTGAATGGTAGGCTTCCTCTGATAAAGAGCTCCGTTATTGAATACCCCAACGGAGATGAAGTCACTGCCTCGTTGGTCTACGAGAGGCTTGAAAAGCATTGTTCTCATTGCTACCGTCTTGACCATGAGCTTAAAGATTGCCTTGCAGCTAAACACCTAAAGAAGAAGAAAGCGCTTTCTATTCAACAACACAAGGAGGAACAATCATCATCCTGTGGTAATAACAGTGTTGTTACAACTGAAAAAAGTTCACATCCTGGCCCTTCTAGATATGATCATTTACAGACGAGGAGATCTTCTTACAACTCCAACAGCATAAAATGGGTTCCCAAAGATGATCAACGCAGGGACTCTTCTCGTCAAGACGAATCTGTGCCTTCCCATGGAGATCACTTGGCCGGGGAGGACAAGGCAAGGAAGCTGTCTGCAAATGGAGAAGTATCAAGCTCTTCTAAAGGCGATGTGCGTGAGGTAATGGTGCAGTATAGTAGCTGCACAGATCCGTTGGAAAGTGCAGCCTGTAATGAGAGACAAGAACAAGGTCAACTAGAAAAGACTGGGGCCCAAATAGTGCGTGCGGCGCTTTCGAAGCAGCAGCTGCTGGATACACCTCAAGCTGGTGTTAGTTTAACTCCGGAGTTTGTAGCTACTTTGGTAACTTCTCAACCTGAGAGTCGCCAAACTATGATGTCAGGCACTTCAACAACAGTACCTCTGTCCAATGGAGGAGACGCACCGGTGCATGATTATGCCTCAGATCAGTCGTTCCAGCTATATCTGTACAATGCTGACTCGCAACTATCCCCTCCTCCTCCTTCTCCGCGTTACTACTCTAGTGGTGGAATGATCCGTGGCAACATGCAGTACCAAGGCCAAGGCGAAGGACAAGGACAATCTTCTAATATGCCTCAGAATAATCATCCTGTTTTTCAGCCCATGAGACAGCAATACCAACCAGAAGCTTCCATACCAAACCAAAATTATGGTCCGGTTTCAAGTTATCAGCAAGCTAACTACTATCATGGTCTAACAACAAAACAGGCGCATCATATTTTAGACCCTTCCCGGTTTCCAGCTGCTATGCAACCACCAGCACCCGACAAGGCAAATTTAGAGCTACAAAGGCAAGCAGCACAGCTGCTGCAGCCTATGCTCTCTGGCTTGGGGGATGTGGAGAAGGACGAGAGATATCAGAGAACACTACAGTTTGCAGCTAGCCTTCTTCACCAGATAAAGTAGAAGATTCAGCAGCAACCGCCTTTTAGGTACTCTGGCTGGACAAGGGCTCCATCTTCTATGCGCTGCTTGATTATTGAATTGAATGAGAGCTTATGCTCCACTCTTTCTAGTTATTTTTTTGTAACCTATTTACATTACTGCTGAGTTAGTCTTTACATATCTATAACTAGGGGAAATGAAAATTGTGACTGCTTTGTTGAATATATGTAAATGTCGTGTGTTGCTTGTTTGCAGGGCATACTTTAGCACTGCTTAGTAGTGTACTTTTAACTTTACTATTTTTTTTATTCACCTTCTGTTTTCTCCGAGCTTTTATGGAGTGTCATGCGTATAGGCAGCGGCTTAGTAGCAGACCTTAAGTTTGTAATGTATGTAACACTGTTACGAAATCTAGCCGCTTTTTTGCTTTGTATAGAATCGTTGGTTCATCTTACAAAACTCTCTTCTATAAGAGAGGCAAAGAATGTTGATAAAAATATTATTCATTTACGAAAGATAGAAAGTTGATCTTATTTCTCTGTTGCAAAAAGCCAATTTGATAGACTAAAAAGTGTTGTCCGAGAAACACTCAGATAAAATAGATGATGATACATGTTACACTACCATTCCTAAGCTTGTAAACACTTGAAACAAAGAGATAAAAAAAAGATTCAGTTGTGTTTTCTCTGCTCTACGAGTTGGTGAAAAGTGTATGGAGAATGGAGATGGAGGTAAAGCTAGAAGCCGTGTGTATATAGCTAACTCATACTTGCTGTGAAACTATGTAGGATTTGAGCCAAAAGCTCTACCAAGTAGACCGGCTTTGTAAGATGATGCCAGTGTCCGAGACAGATTAGCAGGTCCTACTCAGGAAACTAAACGATCGTAGCTGCTCAATCTTCATTTTTTTGTTTGTTCATTCGTTGTGATACTTGGAAGAAAATACGGTAACAAAATGAACGTGATTTTGGATCTTTTTCTTGTTTGGATCTTCTTCATCTTCGACATACCTTTTGAGACATGGAATCACCAGAAATCTTGACATGAACACAACAACATTCACGGTCTTGATATATGATAAAACCTGATGGACTGGCTGCTTAACTTCTCACACCCTCGTTGTTACATTCTCTTCTCCTACTAAAGAAACATTATTTAATGAGAAAATGACTAGGATAGTACTAATTTATTTTTTTTTGAACAACAAATGCTTATATTAAAATTAAACGTCTAATGAATTAAGTCAGTTACAATCGGAGGAAACCTCAACGGTAAGCTGATAAGCTAAAATAACTAAAACATAACGAAAGATAGAGGTGGCTAAGGAGAGAAGAAACCCGAAGAAAATCTTCACTAGAGCCCACGTTCGAAAGAACACATAGAAGTTGAAGTCGACGTTGAAGAACCAACGAATGGATTTTGAGAATAGTTGAAAACTGTCTTTAAAGATGTATGGCTCTCCCAACATTGCATTAAGGTGCGGAGCGGCTGCCGGAGTAGGACTACACACAGAATCATCGACGGTACAGCCTCTAAAAGATAGCAATTGATAGAATCGGGAGATGCTGAATTTAAGTAATAATGCAATGAGATACTGAATTCAGGTGACCGGAATGGGACTACACACAAAGTCGTCGACGGTACACGCAGAGTCGTCGACGGTACACGCAGAGTCATCTTCATAGGGTCGGAATAGTGAGGGTACAGATCTTGCTCTTCCAAAATAGAACTGATCTTAATGGACTTGTGTATGTGAGTAGGCATTGAAAATGGGTCTTGAGAGGCCCAATTATGAACCAAGCCCACACGTATCTGGACGGCAGATTGTATCTTGCAGAGGGGGAGTCGAAACGCCGGTGGAGGAGCTACGGCGGTTGATAGACACGTGATGAGAATATATCTGGCTCCGCCAAGGGCCGTTGTGGTCTGAGATATCGTGGAATGGTGAAGGCGCAGCAGAGTATAGGAGACGACCAGATCTGGCGCGTATGAACACATGCTTATTAGATCCACTTGGACTGGGGTGAGTGGCGATGAGACGTGGAGTAGGAGTGACGGCGACAAGACGTGGAGTAGGAGTGACGGGGACAAAAGGAAGAACCGAAGAGACGTTGACGAAGAAGGAAGCGAGAGATGTGGCTATGACAAGATAAAATGGAAAGTTTGAGACGGCGTGGAGTGGTGGAGACGCAGCTGCGACGAAAGGATCAGCAGATCCGTCAAGCCTTCTCTCAGGCTGAGTAGATCTGTCACTTCTGCTCGCACTGAAAAGAGGAGAGGCGACGCGAAGAGGCTCTGGATGGATGACGATGACAAGAGTATCAGATGTGAAGATGACGGGAGGCGCAGCGGAGGTGACGACGAGATTAATGGACAACAAAGTGGTGATGAAAAGACAAAACATATGGTTTATGGTGTGAGATCGAGAAGGAAGACCTGAACAGACGAGAGGACACAAGAGGATTGATGGACAAAGGCGACGCCGGCGAGCGTAACCGCTGCCGGCGTCGGTGGAGATGGAGAAGAGCGGCTGTCTCGAAAACTGTGGCAGAGAGCAAAACTAGGGCGAACATTTGACGCATTAAAAATTTTTTTGTCACAAATATAGCACTTAAGAATAAAAATGACCAAAATAACAATTAATGTTTTATCAAAATAGATAAATATATACACTTATATCCCAATGATAAGTTAATTTAGACATTAGGGTTTAGAGTTAAGGGGTGGAATTTAGGTTTTAGGGTTTAGGATTCAGAGTTTAGGGTTTAGGGTTTAGAATTTAGGTTTTAGGGTTTAGAGTTGGGAAGTAGAGTTTTGAGGATAAGATTTCAATTTTTGAAAAATAAAATTAAAATTAAAATTTTTAAAAGATAAAATGCTATTTTGGTCAAAATAATGACAGCTTAGCAACCATTCAAATTAGAGTTGGAAACATCATGATCAGCCTTCATGTGTTTTTTAATCTTATGAAGGTGAATTTTTATCTTTAACGGTTATACGAAATAGTAAAATAACAAGCTGATCGATTAGAATAATAATGTTACGATTTCATAGCTTGTAGTATTGAAAGTTATGAGAAATGTAGAGATGGTAATTATGTGCCCGGACCGTGGACCTAGTCCGTAATGAACCGTCGTGAAATGGTATTGGGACGAGGTTTTCTAAACTCATAAATTTGCAAGTCTAGCGGGACGGGTCTTTGCGGAACTGGATTTTTTATAGGATGGGCCAAAATGGGTCATGCGAGATTACAAAAACCCGCATTTTTTTCTTCATTTCTTGTTTAACCTGAAAACAAACGAGAAAGAGAGTGAGAAGAAAACAATTCATGTAACTTCCCTCGAGAAAATGTAAGGAGCTCTAACGATGATGATTCGAGCATCGGTGATGATAGATTCGAGTTCGGCAATGACGATTCGAATTTTGGCAGTGTTTTGATTTGATTTTTTATTTTTATTTTATTTGGTGTTGGTACCTTTGATTTGGTGTTTGGTTTTATTTAATTTGGGATTCATCAAATTAAAACATTGGTTATGACTTATGAGATAAGATAATGAAGCATATCTTATGGAATTATCTTTACTTTGTATGTTAATATGTTTTAGGTGTGACAAAAATAACTAGAACTATTGTTTTGAATAAAAAATAAACAAATCAATGACTAAGGAATTATGTCCAATTGAATCTACAACTTGAACCAGAGTGGTCTGAAACGTTTTGGAGTGGTTTGAAATGTTCTGCTGCGTGTATTATCATCTGTCATGCGGGCCGACCCGCGAAGGCTTGTACATATAGCGGGTCGGGTTTGGACAGCCATTTCAGAGACCGCAGCCCGCGCGGACCTGACCCGGTGTAACCCTGCTTGAAGAAAATTCCGCTGCGATCCGGATTAGAATGGGATGGAACAACCTGTTTACCATCTCTAGAGAGATGTGAGCAACACATAAACGTTTCTAGTATAACAATGTTGCGATTTGAGATATTTATTGAGAAATTAAGGGTAATAATCGTAAGAAAAAAATAATCAAAAATCTAGCCATATGAAAATGATAGCTAGAATATTGAATGTATAATATGTATTATTTTCATTTTTAACTTTATAAAATCTACACATACCATGTGTTGTGCTTTTGTTTTTAATTTTCTTCTTCTTCTTCCTCTATTATCCAGTTATTTTTTATCATAGACAAAATTTGGGTTCATGCCCTGTGATGAATTGTATAATTCACTTCATATTTTGTGAACAATCAATCTGCCATGTAGGATTAGTAAAAAGAGGGGTATTAAAATTAAAAAAAAAGCAGGAAAATAGCTTGAAAAAAAACAGAAGCTAATGCCGTCCAACGACTTCTTCTTCTTCTTCATCTCACAGAGAAAATAGGAATACAAGTGTTTGTTCTGTCGTGATGGGGCTTTCCCGATTGTTGATGGTGAGATTGGATTACACCAATCGTTGTTTGCATTTATTTGCACTTCTCCTGTTTCATGGTGAATACAAACAATTATCAGTGGTTTCCATGGTGATTTCACCACTGCAATATTTTCTCTAGCCATGGATTTTGTTCTGCGTAAAATCCAGCGTAGTGTTTGTCTCCCTCCGGGAGTGTTCTGTTCCGGGACATCCAAGTTGCTTTGCACGTCTCCTTTGTGTCGGCTTTGTTCAGTCGGCCTGTGTCGATAGTTTTATGTCTCATCTGGATTTCTCAGGTGGAGTTTCATGGTTTCCAGTTTCTCAATTGGTATTTTCAACCGTCGTGGCCGGATGATATCAAGCGGCATGTGTTTCTGGTGAAGCAGAGAACGGGTGTTTCTCAGAGGGATGGAATTGTTTACTATTGGTTGCTGGTTTATGGAGGAGTACACATGTGTTTCTTCTTGATCTCGTCTATGTGTGTTGGTGACAACACAACTGCTGAATCGAAGAGTAAAACCAATGGCTTTATACTGAAGTTTAGAAATCGGCAAATAAAGTTCAATAAAGCTCTCATTACAATGCATACTCCTTATGTATAATTTGTTATAAGCTTCTTTGTTTGTCGATATTAATGTGAAAGAAGAAATACGACATGGATATTTGATGATAAGCTTCTCTCCAAACAAATGCTTATTTCGTGAGAGGTCAGCCTAATCTTTTAAGGAAGATGCAGGCTGACTTGCATTGCAAGGTTTAAGAAAAGAAGAAGAGCAGACAGAGCTAAAACCCAAATAGAGGAAATGTGCCCAAACGGTACGGCAAGAAGAAGCACCGTACATTATGGGTATCTATGTTCTCCAACCTTTAATCTATATTATAATGAGGGAGTTTACTCACTCCCAACACGCCACGTCAGCACTTTTTCCATCCACGCACGGTTTTGTAACTACATAATTTATTAACGCTGACTATTAACAATAGATGAGCATTTGGCCCAGTGGTATAATCCGCAGACCTAGAGCTTCTTACTGTGGGTACCGGGTTCGATGCCCCACAAAATCTTTTTTTTTGTTCGCATTTTAAATTTAGTTGCTGGGCTTTTTTTGTTTTTTTTGGCCCATTTATGTTTGTCTGGTTATAGACATCTAGATCTTTGTTTCTCAAGACGTTCCCGATTCCGGCGAACGTATTCCCCCACTTCGCACACTTCGACTCCTCTCCCCATCTTCAATTTTTGTAACTCTTATGCCATCAATTACGACTTCGATCCATCTATATATATGTTTGTAGATAGGGTCTCTGGTTTCTCCTTTTTTTTTCCTCCTCATATTTTGATAAACCCTGTAGCCGCCGTCGAAGTGATGCCTTCTTCAGATGCTCAGATTGCCAACGCCGCCGTTGAATACTCCACTTTCGGCTCTCTTTGACTTGGAAGGACGGTTCAATCTGTTGTCGCGCGCCTGATTCGTTTCTAGGATTCCCGCAATGTTAATAAGAACGGGGAGTTTATGGGGTTTATGGGGTTTACGCTGTTACTTCTCGACGAACTGGTACGTTATGTCCATTACACAGATCTGTTTTCTAACATTTATCAGTGAACTAATCAAGTTTGGCTTTCATCCCTGCGAACTGGGCCAGTCATTACCAACCATTGTTGAAAGCTGGTTCTATTGTCAGATTGGACCGATTTGAAGTTGCACGGGTTGCACACATGTACAAGGTCAAGGAACATCAGTTCTTGATCCGTTTCCTACCGTCTACACACCTTGGTGAGGGCCCATGTTATCAAGTCTGACAAGTTCATGGTGAGGCGTTGTGACCACCTCCAGGTCCTAGCGAACACCAACCTAGAACTACCAGGTCTGTCTTCAGTCTTTTCTATATCTAGATTTCCACGTAACACGGTTTTGTCCTGTGCCTTTTGATTCTCTGTATCAAAGTTCTATTTTTAAGACTTTTTTTTGTTTGTGGTCAGATGTTGTTGGTGAAATCCGCTCTGTCCAGGGGTCTGATCTGAGCAACGAATCTGCCACCACCAGATTTGTGGTTCGCTTCTTGATTGAACCGTAAGCAACCTTTCACTCTCTCTGAATTATGGGTTATGATCTCTGGATGTTTGAATGCTTATTATAGGATACATGTTAAATAGCACTTGATTTGAAGCCACTGTAAATCCCTTTCTTTGATTGAAAGACTTAATCTAAGTGCAATACTGTAACGATTTCACCCTTTATTAAAAAAAAAATTCACCTTTCGCATGTAATACTGTAACGAGGATCCCAAAGGTGAAAAAGATATAATAGAAATGAGTTGGCGTAACATTAATATAGTTGCAAATACTTTTTGTTGATTTGCTTATTGTCGTCTCTTTGTTTTTTTAGATTGACATATATGGCATATTGAGGCATGGATTCTGTCATTATGTTCACATATCTGTTGTGTTCATCGTGTGTAATTGGCATATATCTGTGGATTCACTTACGAATTTTCTAAATTTTGCAAGTAGTAAGAGTTTACAGGAATACATCCGCATTTATATAGTTTAAAGTTCCCAGAATGACATTGGGACAAAACTCTTCAAGCATGCATTACCGTAATTTTATTTCTAATGAAGAAACATAACTTTTGAAACTAATGGAATTCTTCTTATAATGAAAAGAAAAACTTTCAAACAGTGTAAAGTCACAAGTTTTTAAAACGAAATGATTTCAGTTATTATTTTGGGGCCTTTTAACTTAGTTTGTAGTTATTTTGTATATAGATTTCTCGAATAAAAAAATTTGCGCTTATCATGTCTACAAAAAACACCTTTCTCGCTTAGTAGTTCCTCACTGGCTGGTGCATCTGTGGTTTTAAAACTGATTATATTGTGCTTGCAACACAGGAATGTAACTGTGTACCTAACTTTGTGGGATGAAGCTGCATCGACCTTCAGGGGCCTCTTGAAACCAGGGGATAAATCCAAGGCTGTAATGTTGGTAACCACTGTTAATCCAAAACTCTTTGGAGGTTAGGATCCTCTGTTCTCTGATTCATCCTCAAACCTCTTATATACTGTTTTAGTTGACATGTTATTTTAATTGAGCAGGTAATCTGTACCTAGACTCCACGCAAGGAACAAGGTTCTTTTTTGACCCCAAACTCCTAGAAATAACAGATTTCCTCAGCAGATACATACGTCATACCCTAATCTTCATCTAATCTTTATATGCCAATTACCAACAACCAAAAAACATTAAAATTAAAAAAAAAAAATAATTGCTAAAACATTATAATTATTATTAAAATTAAAAACCCATCAAAATCAAAAAAAAATATTTACTTACTTAACAAAAAATATCACTAACCACCCCTTTCTACATTCAAACCTATATACATTATAATTTAAACTAAATATATACAAAAAAAAATACACGCATCAAATTTTTCTGGAAGCATTTCTAGATCGCTGTTACATCAAACTAATCAAACCGTCTGACTTCCAATGTTTCATAATCTCAAACATAATATTACGTAATGCTTCGTCAACGTGCCTGGCCCCGCGCTTGCGCGGGGGAAATGAAACTAGTTATATTAATTGGTCACTAAATATTTTACCGAAAAAGAGCAGGAAGATTAATAAAAATTGGAGTGATATGTTAGTTCATGTTCAAGTGGATTCAAGACAGAAAAATAAGTTGCCACTCTCTATTAAAAAAAATAACTTGCCACTCTCCAAATGATATGTTAGTTCATCTCCAAGTGGATTCAATAAAAAAAAAAAATCTTATGTTCTTACTTTTTACTAATCATACATGCATATTGATTGGGTCACAAGAACTGAGGTGAACCCAAGTTTGATTCTTTTATCATCTCATGTTTTCTCATTTCTTTCCTTCGTATGTTCTTCCTTTTTACCAACAGTATTAATTACAAAATTTATTATTCCATAGATGGTAGATATAAACTTTTTTGCCGTTATCAGATACATTTTTTTTTCTCCATCATTGTTGCTTGTTAGTAAAATTGATCGAAGAAGATGAACTTCTTCTAAAGAATCTATTCTATATAGACATATAGATAGAAATGTAACATTTTGTTAATATCCCACCATTAGCAATGCTACCACCACCACAACCAATTGTTTAGCCACCGCTACCATTTTCTCCTCCATCGCCATCCGGCGTTTCTTCACTTCTTCTCATTATCTCTTCTTCTCCTCTTCCATCTCACGCAGTGGATTCTTCTTCTTGCCCACCAACCATAGCGACAACTCATCTAATTTCTATGCAAATTGTATCTCCTTCTCTGTATTGTGATTTTTACTTCATTATTCTAGCAGTAGCACCTCTAGTCATTCCATGGCAAAGTACTATAATTGGTTTTCTTATTCTATTTGTCGCACATAAATAAAAATGTGATTTTAGAATAGAATAATGTAAGATTGTATTATGTTTTGGCCCTTATTGTGTTTCATGACTTGGGTGTTTTCTGTTTACTTGGATCGACTAATGAAGTTGATATTGGAGGATTGTACAGTCAAGAATTGATTCAGATTTGGAGAAGATGAACAATGTTAATATTGTACTACTATTAAATGACCACATATAGTATGTCTTTTCTTCTCCTTTATTTTTTTTATAGTGGTTTCTTTTACTTCTCCTTTAAATATATTAACAATGTCACCGGTGACAATGACACTAGCTTTCTCCACAAATTAGACCCCTCTTTCGTCTAGTGATTCTTATCATTAATCTCTGAATAAGAATAATTCACATTAAAATAAATTATTTTGATATGTTCTATTCTATTTTGAAAACATAAAATAGAAATATAGCTTTATAATCTCTCTCTCTCTCTCTCTCTCTCTCTCTCTCTCTCTCTCTCTCTCTCTCTCTCTCTCTCTCTCTCTCTTTCTCTTTCTCATTTATCATCCATGTATCCTCTTTATCATCCTCTTCCTTCTTCTTCTCGTCTTTCTCATCTTTCTCATCTTCCAATTTAGCAAAAGGTCATCATTGTCGAAAAAATTCTACTTCGTGTCTTCCTAAACTTTGACCCCCCCTCTCTCATTTGATTATGCATTATGGACATACATAGAAATGAAAGCTCTATTCGTTTGTATTGAGTATTCCATACTATTTTGTAATTATGTATAGTATAATCAATTAATGGTTAACTAATATACTCTTGGGAATGAATATAATCAACCTTAGTAAAACCGCAAAATCATATTTTCTTACCAAAATTACAAAAGTGTATATCTTTGTTAAAACTACAAATTATATTTCCCATCAAAAATCATATTTTAAAATAACAATATTTTTAATAATTAACAAAAATAATATAGTTAAAAAGGATAAATTGATTTAACTCAAAACAAAGGTATATAAGTCACTTGTTTACTAAACCATTCTACATAGAATTAGAGATGAACAAACGAAAAAATGTCATTTAGTGATCTATCTAGATGGTTATATATAGTGGAACGAACAATACTGAATATCACCCAAATGGATCGATCATTGAGATGAATAATCTAAGTACTGAATATCATCCAAATTAAATCGATCATTTGGATGAATAATCTAAATGACTCATTAGAATAGAAATGACAGATGGACAAACAAACATTACCTTCATCAAACTGTTAAATTTGATAGTGTTAGGTTGAATATATAGGTTTCGTTTTGTTATTTACTAAACAGTAGTAACAGGAATGAAAATACAACTAAAGCATTCTCTATGGATACAACACCTTGGGCTCTTGTCACAAGCCACCAAACGGTAGATGCACTTGCTGGCACTACCGCCTCTACCTTTCTGATCTTTACCTCTTTCTTTACTCTCTTCAAGAAATTAGCCACACTCTTCTTCCACATTTGTATTGTCCAAATGTTGCTTAACCAAACTCTTGTAACCCTCGAGGTAATGGACTCATGAAGTAAAGAATAAATAAATGCCAATTGGGCCCAACTAAAAGCCTATCATGCAATCCTAAATTTGCATGATCATAAAGCAGACAACGAGAGAAGTAGGTTAGTTATATTCATTCCCAAGAGTATTAAGGTTGTGAATATATCACACCGCCCAGCTGCCGCCATGGAACAACTAGTTGCTCATGGTGGAAACTCCACAAGAAACATTCCCGTGGACCTCATCGTTGAGATACTCTCTCTGCTTCCTGTAAAATCAATCATACGATTCCAATCAGTGTCGAAACAGTGGTTCTCCATCATCCGCAGCAAAGACTTGTGGGAGACGTTTCTGACTAGGTCAAAGACTCGGCCTCATCTCCTTGTAGTCCTCGAGATCTTTCCACCCGGAAAGCTTCTCTTGTTCTCGGTTCCTGAACACAAGGAAGACAGCAATGATAAAACCCCCACAGCCAACTCCAGACAAGACATGACCCGCTCGAAAGACGACTACTACCACTTGAGCTCTCTCCCTGTCAACGGCTTTGTCTCCTTCACACATATTTTTTATTCAACAATATTTTGGAACTCGATCACCGTTTGTAATCCCATCACTAGACAAACGGTGAAACTCCCCGACATTGGAAACAATGGAAGAAAAGTGTATCCATTCCTCGGGTACGATCCAGTGGAAGATCAATATAAAGTGTTGTGTGTGATGATGTACACTGATCGACTAGATAACAAACCGGAGCATTACGTTTGCACAGTGAGTTCATCTGAGAAACAAGAGTGGAGAAACATTGAGAACACCACAGTTGATTACGACGGCTATGTCAGCCAAGGGATATGCATTGATGGTGCTATATACTATGGAGTTGGAAAGTCAAACATAGTTAAATTCAATGTTAGGTTTGAGAATATGCAGATGATAAATGCACCTAAAGAATCAAACATCTCGAGAACGTGCAATTCCACTCTTGTAAATTACAATGGAAGATTGGGAGGTGTAGATTTTGATTATTCGAAACAAGAGATGAACTTGTGGATTCTTGAGGATGTTGAGAAGCAGGAATGGTCTAGAAAGGCGTTTAAGTATCCTTGTGAGTGGAAAGGCTTTCCGGTTCTACTAGATTCTAATTAAGGGTGTGATTCATACCGGCGAGCTTATGGTGTTTAGACGATCGTTAGACAAATCTAAGCCCTTTTGTGCTTATTATTATGATTTTAACAAAGAGAGTGCAAGAAAAGTGGAGATCCAAGGAGTACTGGAGAGTGATGCGCTACTAGGAACAAGGATTTGTTATCCAGGCTATGTTGAGAATATTAGGTTCCTTTAAGGACTTTTTGTTTTTTTGTTCAGTAACCTAATTTTAAACTAAGTTTTGGTACATGTATAATTTAAATGAAAACAAATATACGCATATGATATGGTTACAGCCTTCTTTGCTAGAGCAATTTTTTGTTGTTGTTAGTCATGGTTTATTAATATTGATGTGTGTCCAGTACTGCTATGACTCACTGCAATAAATAAGGGTCTGGGGGCAAAGATGCACCGGCCCAAATGTTACAGACTTTTCTATATCAGTTGTTGTTTCCGTTTACGTTTAATAAAACACATGGTTCTAGCCTCCTTTGCTAAATCAATCTTCTGTTGTTATTCTGTAAGGTTTAATAAACACACATACATAATGTTAGCTACATGGAACAATTTTGTCAAATTTGTTATTAACTTAAACGTAGCTAAACTAACCGTTTTTAAACCATATTTCCGGACAATTATTTGATTAGGCTTTGATTAGGCTGAGAAAGTAAACAATACAGTTTTAATTTATAGGTAATTTAGTAAGGATTTTGTTTAAAAAGTGAAAATAATTTTATGAACGTATGTTTATGTAAATTATTTCTAAAAATTTGAAAGTCACACTAATGCTTCACTTGCGTATGTTCAAGACCTTCTCTGAATGTACGTATGTAGTTTGGTTTGTGAAGACTTTCATTTATTTGTTGCAAGACTTTGTGTTTGTGGTAGTCATTTGCTACCATGTGATGTGTATCCTACAATTTCAGTCGGCAACTTCAAAAGTCAACGTTCAAACCGTGTCACCAAGTCGTCCCCCACTTGCACTGGAATCTCAACTCTTGATAAGAAGACTAGTGTTTTGTCCCTACTCCTAGTTGCGTCTCCTAATCTCCCAGCTCTTTATGCCTATAGTCTCTCCTATAAAATAATGCACAACTTGGTGAATAATCAAAAACCAAACTCAGAACTACTTAAAGTTTCTTAAACTCTTTCGTCCACTTATGGCTTCAAGAAAACCTGTTAATCGTCCATCAGTGAAGCACCCGAGTCACAAACATCCACTGCACATATTTAAAGCCCAAGAGGAAGATGAGATCATCTGCTCTGGATGTGAGCTCGAGCTAACCGGAGAAGCTTTCAAGTGTACCAAGTCAGACTGCGATTACTTCTTGCACAAGTCATGTTTCGACCTACCACGTGAAATCAACCACAAGTCTCATCCTAACCATCCTTTAACCTTGCTTCATTCCCCACCTTATGAAAGTAACGCTTACGGGTGTGACGCATGCGGTCAATATGGATCTAGTTTCATTTACCATTGCTCTAAGTGCCAGTACGATGTTCACGTGGGATGTGCGTTTCTCCCTGAGACCGTGCAGCGTGAAGATCACGAACACGTGCTTACTCTAGTTTTCATGTCTCCGTGCAAAGGTCGTGAGGGTATGGTTTTCATGTGTGATGTTTGTAAGGAAACTGTGTCGGAGAATCTTTGGGTTTATCATTGCAAAGTGTGTGATTATGGAACGCATGTGCATTCTTGTGCGGTTTATGAAAATCATGTGACGGAAAAAGGAAGAGAGGAAGAAGCGGTCTTGGAAGCTTTGAGGATAGAGTCGTTGAGGAATGCTCGTATGGAGTTGGAGAATATGCGTATTTCGAATAAAATAAATAATTCTGTAATCCATTTTGGTGAGGAACCTAGATACCATTGGGTCAGAAAATGAAGAAGCTTTTGATTATTCGTTTTCCACTTTTGGAAATATCGTTTGTTTCGTGCAAGTTATTGTAAGCTTTTTTTTTTTCTTTCGTTTTATGTCATTGTAAGCTTTCTTTCATGTAATCTTTGTTTTTAATTTAAAAATGTCAATTTTAATTTTTAACTTCTAAACGATATAATAAAATATAACAAGATTAAGGCTCCAAATGGTGACCAAATGAATGAGTGGGAATAGCTAGTTCCTTACTATTCCTTATAATTTACAAGGAATATTTGTTACCTATGATTCCTTAACATTCCTTAAGATTTAAGGAATAAAAGATTACGGCTCTAACTGGTAACCATCACAGGAACATCAAGAACAAATAAAAAAGGAATAGATGGGAATAAAATTATGGGAATGAAGAGGAATAGTTATTCCATATCAAGTTTAATAAGGAAAAAATTTGTTCAATAAATCTCTACAATAAAAGGAATGATGAGGAATAGAAAGGAAAAGCTATTCCTTATGAATGGTAAATTTTTTTAGGAATATTAAGGAATGTATTGTTCCTCTTCCTTTGGTCACCATTCATAGCTACAATTATTCCTTGTCAAATTAGAAGGGGAATAGATTTTCCTTTTATTTTTTTCCTTTTCATTCATTTTTTCTTATTCTTCGTATTATTTTGATGGTTACCAGTTAAAGCCTAAGTGTTACGGTTTACATGAAAAAGAGTGGTGGTCTTGAAAGCTATTGAGAGATGAGAGCAACAACAAAGTTAAATATATTTTTCTATGTTCATCAGTCATATAAAGGTTTTAATCTCATGATTGAGATTTATTTGATGATGAAGCTTTTTTTTTTTCTTTGTGACACTGATGATGGAGGTTTATACAAATTAAATAAGGGTAAATCTCCAAAACATTTCTAAGTTTATGTTACAAAAATAGTTTTCAAAAATTAAAATGATCAAAATAACATTTTATCTTTTAAAAATTTTAATTTTTTTTTATTTTTCAAAAATTGAAATATTATCCCCAAAACTCCACTCCCCAACTCTAAACTCTAAAACCTAAATTTTAAACCCTAAACCCTAAATCCCACCCCTTAACTACCTAATGTCTAAATTAATTTATCATTAGAATATAAGTATATATGTATCTCTTTTGATAAAACATTAAGTGCTATTTTAGTCATTTTTATTCTTAACTGCTATATTTGTGACAAAATTTTTTTTAATGATATCCTAGTTATTTTCTCTTTTTCTTTTACATTTTTTTTTTAATTTGACCCAGGGTTCTGAAAACGAACAGGACTATCGACTTTAAAATTTTTAAAAAGAATTTGCATAAAAATAAGTTCATAAAATTATTTTAACTACTTTAATAAAATCCTTACTAAATTACCTATAACCTAATCATTAGCTACGTTTAAGTTAATCACACATCTGACAGAATTGTTCCATGTACCTAGCTATCATTACCAAGGTAATGAATCAATGAATAACAACAAAATTTGCTCTAGCAAAGGAGGCTAGAGCCCATGTGTTTTATTAACGCACAACTGATATAGAAAAGACTCTATAGTCTATAACATTGGGGCTGGTGCATCTTCTCCCCCCCCCCCCTCCCCCCAGACCCTTAATCAAGGTGGTGTAGCTTCTTTTTATACGTTCTGAACGCACATCAATACTAATAAACCATGAGTAACCATATGCGTTTATTATTTTCATATAAACCAGACATTGCCAAAGCTTAGTTTAAAAATATGAGTTACTGAACAAAAAAAACAAAACAAAAAGTCCTTAGAGGAACCTAATATTTTCAACATAACCTGGATAACAAAGCCTTGTTTCGGGTGGTTCCTCAGTCTCCACTCCTCCGATCTGATCCACTTTTCTTGCACTCTCTTTGTTAAAATCATAATAATAAGCACAAAAGGGCTTAGTTTTGTATGGCGATCGTCTAAACACCATAAGCTCGCCGGTATGAATCAAACCCTTAGACTCTAGTCGAAACCGTTTCCACTCACAAGGATATTTAAACGTCTTTCTAGACCATTCCTGCTTCTCAAAATCCTCAAGAATCCACAAGGTCATCTCTTGTTTGTAATTATGAAACTCTACACCTCCCAATCTTCCATTGTAATTTACAAGAGTGGAATAGCACGTTCTCGAGATGTTTGATTCTTTAGGTGCTTTGATCAACTCCATATTCTCAAACCTAACATCGAACCTAGCTATGTTTGACTGTCCGACTCCATAGTATATAGCACCATCAATGCATATCCCTTGGCTGACATAGGGGTAGTTATCAACCGTGGTGTTCTCAATGTTTCTCCACTCTTGTTTCTCAGATGAACTCACAGTGCAAACGTAATGCTCAGGTTGGTTATGTCCTTGATCAACGCCGTACGATATCGTGTACGTCATCACACACAACACTTTGTATTGATCTTCCTCTGGATCGTACCCGAGGAGTGGATACACTTTTCTTCCCTTGTTTCCAATGTTGTTTCCAATGTCGGGGAGTTTCACAGTTTGTCTAGTGATGGGATTACAAACGGTGATCGAGTTCCAAAGGCTTGTCGAATAAAAAGTATGTGTGAAGCAGACAAAGCCGTTGACAGGAAGAGAGCTGAAGAAGTAGTAGTAGACGTCTGTCGAGTGGGTCATGTCTTGTCTGGAGATGGCTCTGGAGGTTTTATCATTGCTGTTGTCCTTGTGTTCAGGAACCGAGAACCAGTGAAGTTTTCCGGGTGAAAAGAGCTCGAGGACTACAAGGAGATGAGGCCGAGTCTTTGACCTAGTCAGAAACGTGTCAGCCAAGTCTTTGCTGCGGATGATAGAGAACCACTCTTTCGACACGGATTGGAATCGTATGATTGATTTTGCAGGAAGCAAAGAGAGTATCTCGATGATGATGTCGACAGGAAGGGTTGTTGTCGAGTTTCCACCATGAGCTACTAGTTGTTCCATGGCTGCGTGCGTCTCGGTGGTGTTATATCCAAAACCCTAATCGCTCTAGAGAATGATATAACTAAACCTACTTCTTTCGTTGTCTTTTTGATCACGCTATCTAGGACACGTGACAGGCTTCTAGTTGGGCCTAATGGCATTTATTTATCCTAACCTCGTGAATTCAGTCCATTAACACAGGTTAGTGTTTTTTTTTCTTTTGAAACAATAATACAGGTTAGTTAAAAGTTGATTCTTCAAGCATCATCATTTACTTACAGAGAGATGTACAGCTTCTCTTCACAAACGCCCATTGTCTTCAAGAAAGAAGAGTGTAGCTGATTTCTTGAAGAGAGTAAAGAAGAGTCAAAGATCAGAACCAGAGAGGTGGAAACAGTGAGAAGGTTTCTACTGTTTTGTGGCGCTTGTGACAAGAGCCTAAGCTTTTCTGTGTCCATAGAGTATGTTTTGGTTATATTTTGAAGATTGATTTCCACCATTAGACTTCTTACACATGCTGTGGCTGACAAGATACTGATACCCGTTCCATTGAACATATTATCCAACATTTGGGTAAAGCTAATCTCTAATGTCAGCAAAAATTACAGTCAGATACCAAAGAGAAGGCAACATCAAAGAGAAGTTGAGCCTCTTGACTTTCCATCGCAACCAATGTTTTCTTCTTCTTCATCAGCTCCTTATGATCTGCATTGCACTGTGTCTTGGCAAAACTGCTTTGATTCAATCAAACCACAAGTTTAGCGATGAAAGCCACTTTCTATACAAAAGACCTGAATATGCTAAATGCTCTTAATATATCAAACTAAACACTTACCGTTTTCTCCACTGGATATATCTCCAAGCTTTGTTATTGCACCCACAAGCGCATGTTCTTGCTCCTGATGGCATCAAAAGGTAGTCAATCATATCATTTGAGGCTTTTGTATTGTATATAAACATAATACTAAAAAAAAAGAAAGAAAGGGTCTTTGTTGTTGTTGTAGCCATCATCAAACCTCCAAAACTCTCTTAGCTCTTTCAAGTTCTTGAGGATCCGGATTGTGTGAACCAAGAACTCTCTCCACCTATTAGAAAAACATCACCGTTTGAGAAACAACACATACATAATTTTACAACTCAGCCTTGACAACAACTAGTAGCAACCTCTCTGATTAGGACATTGGTCGGACGGAGTCGTATATCCACATGTTTCCTTTTCCCAGTAGTACCATTCTGTGAAGTTCTGGGCTCGTTTTTGATAGTGGTCTTAGCCAAACTGCTTCCTCGTTGTGGAACACTGTTGGGTCCTGTAGTTCTGTTCAGAGCATGGCCTTGTCCGTTGTAACCATGTCGATCACCAACCCCAGGATCCTCTGCTACCCACTCAATATCCCTAGGAGATATCTGCACACATATTAGAGATCTTGATTACCAATTAACACAAAAATAATGTTGTTAAAAGTTTTCTCCTCAAAAGGTTTAATGATCAAAAAGTAATTTACCTCTGCGAGTTTAACCCATTCCCATGCCTCATTAAGTGTTCCAATGTCATAAACCAAAGCATGGCGACCCTAAATTAAAGATTATAAGAATATTTAAACATGTATAAGGAAAGTTCTTAGAGACTTCATGCCAATTTAAGAAGCCACACACCTCAACTGGATCATACTTGGCGATGGCAGCCTCGTAAAAGGTATTGTCTTCTGGCCACCTTGTTCTAACTCTTCTTCCTACAAAAGACTCAGGTCCGGTTCCTTTTGCTGGTTCACTTGAACTGGTAGGAACAGATGGTAATCTGTTCATGACTTGTCCTCGTGGAGGTTGGTCCAGCGGATGGTAAAGGATGGGTTTCACGGAAGACGAACCAGGTAAAACCTAAGAGAAGGGGAAAAATCGTTAAAGGAAAGAGTTTCTCATAAAGAAACAAACAACCTAAACCAACATTATGACTTTTTTTAACTCACTGGTCTTTGCTTTTTCTCCTTAACACTGGGAAAAGATCCTCGTTTAGCTTTCCATGAAGCAAACGGGTGAGTGGGATCAGCCTGAGGGTGAAAAGAAGGCGAAGAACTAGCGAATGGTTGAGAAGGAACTGGCTGGTTTGGTTTGTGCTTCTTAACGGAAGCTGACATGGAAGGGCTTGGCAAAGTATCGTGAACCACTTGAGCAGCATTGCACATACCTCCAGATTGTCTCCATTCCCTAGTAAAAGAAAACATATTGATAGAAAAAGAAAGAAACGTTGTACTCCTCAACCGAATAAATGCTCAAGAAATAAGCTATCTCGCCTTATCCTTCGTATTGTATCATCTGCGTTTACACGAGCAAGAAGCTCTCTATGCTCCTCATGCGATACTCTCAACTCTTTACGCATATCAGCTATTAGACTATCTTTCTCCTGAACAAGACACACATACCAACAAAAAGAGATGTCATTTCAACTAAAGATAAGAAGAGAGCGAGATTCAACGAATATACCCAAGTGATTGCATCAGCTTGTGCTCTAAAGGCTCTTAGAAGAGAGAAGTATGCTTCCTTCTCAGTATGGTGAATCTGGGCTTCCATATCAGCAGAAACTTGGTCATACATGTAAGATGGAGGAAGACTCGAAGGTCTTGCATTGCTATAAACAAAACCTCCTCGTGGAACCTCCACCCTATGCGATGGACGCAGATCATCATCAGTTCCTGTAGAAAGAACATATTCAACCAAAAGGTTTCAACTTTAAGATCAAAGTAGAGAGTTAACACAAAACCCACAATGTATAAAACTACTTTAACCGTGAAAGCTTAGAACTTTCGTAAACCCTAAATCAGCGACTGAAAGAAAAGAAGACAACGAGAGAAGAGTGTTTAGTGTACACAATGTTAGGGGAACTAACCACTGCTATCAAACGACTCGTACTCCATCACTAAGCTTTTTGATCCTCAATTCTTGAAAGACTAGTTTCGGAGAATCAAAACACAAAGAAGCAACATTTCGAGGGTTGATTTCAATTCGACTAGAACCAAGACTCGATTTTTCTTGATCCTTTTGATCTTCCCCTCTAGAGTTTTCGTAAGGAAACTTCTGATCAATCCCTAACGTCCGCGACGAATCGGAGCTTCACTGGGAGTGATGATGATTCAGCTTTAGAGATGACACATTTGCAGAAAGCTTATTTATTCTTTCCTATATAAAGAACAGTGGAGTTGAGTTAGAGACGAATGAACACTGTGGTTTGATTCTTTCTCATTATTAACGAGGGAAACAAAACGCTGTCGTTGCTACCCAGCCCATTAATAAATTATAAGAACTTTTTATCAGCATTAAGGCCCAATAGTTTTATGGGCTATGATAACGGGCCTAAGCTCTAGTGTTCTTTTTTAACACAACGACGTCGTTAGCTTCTACGCTAGCCGTATTTTGAAGGTTTGGGTTTTCAGACAAGAAATACAGACTTTTTTTTCTACGTTAGTTTATCATTGGTCTAATTGAATTAGTCTGAATTTGAGTAGATGCCTCGGAAACCATCAGGAAGAAGAAGATTGTCAAAGCATCAAACCTTTAGCAAGTGAAAGACTCTCACTTCTTTTAGAAAAGGGGAGAAAAGGAACAGCTTTTAGACTCTTCTGATGAAGAAAAAGAAGAGTCTCAAGTAAGTGATTGTCTATACTCTTCTCTTGATATATTAAAGCTCTTTTGCTTGATCCTTTTAGTTACATACTTGATTCTTTTGAAGGGAGATGTTCAAGCAGACTTTGAGTTCTTTGACCCTAAACCTACAGACTTCAACGGAGTCAAGATTCTCCTAAAGAACTATCTCGACGACAAGGAGTGGGATTTGAGCAGTTTTGTTGATCTGATACTGGAACAGAAGATTGTAGGAACAGTGGTTAAAGTAGCAGATGATGAGGATGAGTCTGTATTTGCTGTTGTCTCTGCTCTTAACTTAGCAAGGTATAAGGAGAATCAATGCTTTAGAGAGGTTAAAGAGTTTCTTCTTAAAGTTTGTTCAGAGAGAGATATAGCTAGTAGTGAACTAGAACTGATGTTAGAGAAAAAGGCACAAGATGTTGGTTTGTTGGTATCTCAAAGAGTTATGAATCTGCCTCCTCAACTTCTTCCTCCGTTGTATGATGGATTGTTTGATGAAGTCTCATGGGCTACTGAAGATGAGGTGTGGATGTTTTAAGATATAAACTCTTAGGTGACTTTTTGTGAGTAACAGTTTTTAAAAGTGTTTCTGTTTATGTAGCCTACAGAGGAGCTTCGAAGATCATTTCGCTTCAAGTCTTATCTTCTAGTCACCAAGATTTAACAGGGTAGTCTTACAATAACTTGCTTTCTTTGGTTCTTGAATCCTTTCTCATTGTGTAATGTATTGATAGCTTAAGAATCCTGAGCAGAGGAACTCTAGTTTCTTTTGTCTTAAACACTGTCTTGTGGAACCCTATTATTATTTGAAGCTTATACTAAAACTCATGGGTCATAAAAGAACAGCCATTAGTCCATATATACTGCCAATACTGTTATTTGGTAATATTCCATGTCTGAAAGCAAATATATGATGAACAAGTGTCTGTCGTCTGTGAGCTTTCTAAAGCTCGACTCAGGTATGATCACATCTCGTTTATCATTTACAGGAGATGCTGCAACTGACTTGGCGGGACTATGCTATGCTACACACACTTGTGCTGGCAGGCACCATGATGATTGCTAATTCCTTGAATCAGGCTGAGTTAGTTCTCTCAAAAACAGAAACTTTCAATTCCATTCTGGAGAGTTTTGATAGTGTATGATTTCCTTGATGCTTGGGATCCTAGGTGTTTCATGTAGTTGACCAGATTTTTGAGATACAAGTAAATGATGCTAATATGAAGAGAACATTGAGAAGGACATCGGCTACACTCTGATTGTGTTTGGTTAAATTTATGTTTTGTATGAATATATGCATACTTTCTCTGCTTGAACAAGATTCTTACATGTGATGTTTTAGTAGTAGTAATGAGATATCAAAGATTCAATAACTCAGTTTGGGGTTCTCCGAGTGTTTGGTTATAGTAAAAAAGTTGCACATAGTAGCCATGAGCACAAACTACACAAGATCGGAACCATCTGCAGACTCAAATTAGGAACCATAATAAGACGGCCTAAAGAAACAGTCGCGATCAAACGGAGCCACTATAAGCTCAAACTTACAACCATCTGGACACCATCCTTCCATGTCATGACATACCTCAAGTCTTTCTTCCTTGGGAAAATCCCAGGGAAACTCAATTTCGCAGCCGGCAATGCGCAAAACAACATTTTCCAAACGCCTTGCATTGGATAGGATGTATTTGGCCACCTCTTTCCCGTATGTTGATCCCGTAACATACCAATCTAATGTCTTAAGATGGCACAAACATTGAGGAACATGTGTTGGTTGCTCCCATGTCAGTTCAGCATCGTGTTCCTGAAACCAAAAACCATTATATATTTACATAAATAGATCATCAACTCCTTAAACCGAGCTGCTGCGATTTTGTTTTTTATATGAAAGATGAGCTTTTGCAATGCTTACACCGATGATCTCCAGAACTTGCAAATTAGGAGAGTTATCAAGTATGACCATTAGTGGATTCCAGGACAGTAGATAATCTGTTAACAGCTGCAAATATTCCAGCTGTTTGAAGATGCTACCAGCAGGAACCTTAATATATATATATACATGCGTTAGGCAGTAGTATTAGTAATAATCCCATAAACAACAACAAACTCAATAATTCATTACAAGAAAACCATACCTCCATTAGTGAATTGACACGCAAGGAAAGGCGTTTGACTGAAGTGAGTGATTCTCCCAGCTGAAATTCATCATGTGTCCAAATTGTTGCCTCCACCAGCTCAGGTGCATTAATCATTATTAATTCAGATGCGATAGTCTTTCCTTCAACCACTTTAATCTTCAATTTTTGCAAAGAAGGAGAGTTTATCACATAGCCAGAATCACCATAGACGTCATCGTCAATGGTTAGCTCCTGTAAAGATGGCACGGCAATAGTGAAAGTCTCCACACCATCATGACCACTTCGAATAACGAGCAAATTTTCAAGACGAACACAGCCAGCGAAAAGGTTCACAACGGATTCATCGTCTTGGTAGAACACATCTAAAAGGTGCAGAGTTCTAAGAGACTTCAGACAAAGTGGAGAAGGGACTCCTAAAGCAATGGAACCAAAATCACCACGGAGTCTCAAGGTTTCCAGAGACTGACAGTTGTCCAAGATGATGGGATATTTTTTTAATACTGGATTAAATAGTTCGAGTACCAAGTCACGCACATGGAGTCCACATGCGATTCCAACTAACTCTCCAATATCATCTATACTTTCATCTTGGCCAAGTGAGACATCAAGATGCAAACTCTGTAGACATGGAGTCTCCAGTGAAAGCATGGTCCTCCGAACACTATCTGAAAACCCCTCAAGATGATTGCCACGGTTGCAAATAAACTTGAGATTGGGCACCATTTTCCAAAGAGACCGCCACTGTTTAGACAGAACACTGGTGGCTACGACTTCTTTTGTTGTGGGAAGTGAACATAAGATCTTCACAAGCAAAGCTTCTGGTAACTGACTGATCATGTCCATAGTTTGACCAGATCTGTAATTTAAGAAAGAAAAAAAACGATTTGGAGATGCTTAAATTTTGAGAAACACAGTGTAGTATTGGTCATAACTAATCAACAACAGAGAGAGAGATCAGGAGCAGAGGCTAAAACTTTCGTAAACCCTAATCATCACCTGTTCCTGCAGACAGCACACATTCAACCAAAAAGGTTTCAGCTTTTTTAATCAAAGTAGAGAGAGTGTACACAAAACCCACAATGTATAAACATTACTGGAAGGAAAAAGAAAAAGCCCAAAACTTTCCTAAACCCTAATTTCAACGACACGAAGACACGAGACAAGAGTGTCTTTGGGCAGACAATGTAAATGTTAGGGGCAGGAACTAACCGCTGCTATCAAACGACTCGTATTTGATCCACAATTTCTTGAAAAAAGACTAGTTTTCAGAAGCAGAGAGAAACCACACACAAAGAAGACACCAATTCGAGGGGAGTTGATTTCAATTTGAGTAGAACCAAGAACTCGATTTTTGCTTCAGCTTTTCTTATTGTTTCCTCTTGAATGAGATATTGGAGATTCTGATCAGTTTCTTCCGTCGGCGACGAATCCAATGAGCTTCACTGGGAGTGTGATATTTGTAAAGACAGTATAATTTAATTACGTACTATAAAGCTTGGAAATCTTCAAAATTTTAAATTTTTTAAAAATGTGAAAATTTAAAACTCTGTAAGATTACTAACGACGAGTAACGAGTGAAATAAAAGCTGTCGTTTGAATTCGCTGGTTTTTCTAGGGTTACACAGCCCAGTAATAAATGAAAGCCCAATATTCTCCATGGGTTATATCATAACAGGCCTTTTAGTGTAACGTAGGCCTTCGTTTTTTTTTTTTTTGGAATTAAATGACGTAGTTAATTTCTTCTTTCACACTCGTCGTCATAGATAGATTTGCGAAGAGAGTCTTGTTCGTGACTTCGACTTTGTGTTCTCGTTTCTCTCTCTCTCTCGGTTTGTACCTACAACTAAACGTCATATCTTTTTTTCCTGGTATATGCAACGCCAGGACTTATATCAATGGAGTTACCAGAGAAGAGTTTCCATTTGCCGCTGGAATCTTTCAAATTGCTGAGTTTTTATGCATGTTACAAGTGGTCTTTGGACGCTCTGCCTGCATCTCTTCAAACTTAGAGAGCGTAAGGGCAAGCTGGAGTGGAAAAAGCTGTAATGCAGCAGAAGAGTGCTGAGGTGGCACCGTGGCAGCAACACTGTTGAGTAATGTTATTTTTGTAATCAAACCAAACCAGAGGATTCAGGGTAATTAACTATAATGGCTTGTAATTTGGTTTAGAGAAGTTGTTAAGTGTCAAAGTAGTTGTTGTACTTTTCTGTGGAAGCAAAGCATGGCTTTAAGCTAGAGCTCTAGGTGTTAGTGGGAGCAGTTGTAATAGTTAGACAAGAGAGTATGTTCTCTCTATAAGCTTGTGTCGTGTGTGAATGTTTGGTTATAACGACTATCGTGGGGGATTGTCCGAGTGTTTGGTTATAGTAAAAAGTTGCAAATGCAAGAGCCTAAGACACATAGTAGCTATGAGTACAAGAAGTCATCAACTACACAAGATACAAACCAACTGCGACTCAAATTAGGAACCACAATAAGATGGATTAAAGCAACAGTCGCTATCAACAACCAGATCCACTATAAGCTCAAACTTACAATCAGCTTGACACCATCCTTCCATGTCATGACACACCTTAAGTCTATCTTCCTCGGGAAATCTCTTGTCGTCGCGGCCGTCCACGCGCAAAACAACATTTTCCAAACGCCTTGCATTGGCTAGGATGTATTTGGCCACCTCTTTCCCGTATGTTGATCCCGTAACATACCAATCTAATGTCTTAAGATGGAGCAAACATTGAGGAACATGTGTTGGTTGCTCCCATGTCAGTTCATCACAGGGTTCCTGAAACCAAAAACAATGTATCATCAAACCTTAAACCGAGCTGCTACGAATTTTTGTTTTTTTTAAAAAAAAAATGAAAGATGGAACTTGCAATTGTGCAATGCTTACATCGATGATCTCGAGAACTTGTAAATTGGGAGAGTTATCAAGCATGACCATTAGTGGATTCCAGGACTCTGAATCATTTGTAAACAGCTGCAAATATTCCAGCTGATTGAACGTGCAACCAGCAGGAACCTTTAATATATATATATATATATATATATATATATATATATGCATTAGGCAATAGTATTAGTAATAATTAATCCCATAAAAAATGTAACAAATCATTACAATAAAACCATACCTCCATGTGTGATAACTCCAAGGAAAGGCGTTTGACAGAAGTGAGTGATTCTCCCAGAAATCCATCATAGGTCCAAATTATTGCCTCCACCAGCTCAGGTGCATTAATCCTCATTAATTCAGATCTGATACGCTTGGCAGCCCTAATCCTCAATTTTTTCAAAGAAGGAGAATTTATCACGTAGCCAGAATCCCTATATATATATAGCGGTAATTTTCTATGTAATCTTCTATGGTTAGCTCCTGTAAAGATGGCACGGCAATAGTGAAAGTCTCCACACCATCATCCTGATATCGAGTAACAAACAAATCTTCAAGACTTACACAGCCAGCTAAAAGGTTCACAACGCATTCATTGTCACTGTAGAACACACCTACAATGTGCGGAGTTTTAAGAGACTTGAGACAAACTGGAGAAGGGACTTGTAGAGCAATGGAACCACCAAGTTTCAAGGTTTCTAGAGTCTGACAGTTACACAACCTGATAGTATAATTAGTTTTGAAATCTCGGCTAGAGATATTGAGTACCAACTCACGCACATGGAGTCCACATGCAAGTCTAACCAACTCGTCCAAATCATCTATACGATCACATATGCTAAGTGTAACATCCATATGCAAACTCTGTAGATACGGAGTCTCGAGTGAAAGCATAGTCCTGCGAACAATATCTAAAAACCTCCAAAGATTATTGCGACCATAACCCTTGCAAATAAACTTGAGGTTAGGCACCATCATCCAAAGAGACCGCCACTGTTTAGACAGAACACTGGTGGCTACGACTTCTTTTGTTGTTGGAAGTGAAGATAAGATCTTCACAAGCAAATCATCTGGCAACTGACTCATCATGTCCGAGCTGTAATTAAAAATATATATATATATATATGATTTGGAGCTGCTTAAATTTTGAGAAAAACACAGTGTAGTTATGTTTCATACAACGTATCAATTAAAGAATAAAAATTACTACCTTGTTTCCATTGTAGTAGTTGATAGAGAGTGAGAGCTCCGGCGCAGAGGCGGCGAGGGTTGTACGGAGACGACCTAGAGAAGAGAAAGCAGCAAGGAGAGGAAGCAACGACGTCGTTACATACACAAGATCACGATTCACAATCCTCTTGCACAAAACCCACAAACCAAAACTTCTACTTTTATGATTCTCTGCAAAACTCCCAGAAACCGACTCTGTTCCTCGCGGCTTAGGCAAGAAACGAAAGAGGAGCGTCGGAACTCGGAACCCTTTAGAGAAATCTCTCCTATTAAAATTTTAATAAAATTATATTAATTTTTATTCTATTTTTTCGTTTGTTTAACAATTATATCATTACTAGGTACTTGCCCGCACCTTGTGCGGAGAATATATGTCCAACAATATTAAATGTGTTTTCGTATTAAAAATTTTCATCATAATGATAATTAATATATAATATTTTTAATGTGTTAGTCTTTAATTTTAAGCGTTAGAATATAGACCATATTTCACTATATCTCATATACTTTATATTTTTTGTTTCTCTTTTTTTTTTTTTTGTTCTTTCTCCTTTTTCCTTTTGCTTTCTTTTTTCTATTTTCTGATTTATACTTTGAAAATAAATCAGAAACTCAATTATAAAACCAATTCAGTTGTAAAAAATTCCAAAGCTTCTAAGGTTATTAGGTTTTGCTGTTAGAATATGAGTTTGAAGGTATGTATACTAAGACTTTAGTGGGTTTTATGGTTTGGGTCTGGGCATTCAGTTTGAGTGGTTCAAAATTTTTGGGTCCGGTTGTTTATTTCAGTTTTCGGTTCGTTTAGGGTAGCAAAGTTAGGAACCGGATAATAGTAGGAAAAATTTAGGTCTAGTTTGGTTCCTCTTCGGAGATAATTTCTGATAGTTTAGAGTTTTTCAGGTTAAATATCAGTTAATTTGAGTTGTTTGGGTAAAAAATATCGGGTTATTCATACAATTTTAAATATTTTAGGTTTAAAATATTCAGCTAAATACTATCATCAAGATAATCTTCACATGGATGAACTGTCATCCTACATGTACGACACGTAACAAAATACCACTTTGGAGTAGTTTCAATGGAAATAAAGTGTAACACATTTTCCCACCTATAGAAAACAAACAAATAATTTCACATAAAACTAAATTCATCAATAACTTCAGTTGACATCCGTTAGTTGTAACCAAAACTATTTAGTAAATTGAACATACCTCATTCGATACATTCAATGCACCGAAATTTTTTATTGGATTCTTAATGAAAAACTCATCATATAAATCTACTCTTATAGGCGTAGATTTTGGATCAATTTTTTCTCTAGTAATAACCAAATCATCATTGGGCAATTTGGATTTGGAGTCGAGCACTTCTTGTAGTTGTGGATCAAAAAGAATTTCAGTGGCATTGAATACATTAGAAACAGTAACATCTCCTAAAACATCAACAAAATTACAACAAAAAATAAAAATATTATCAGCAATTTAGATGTTAAATTCTGTGGAAAAAAATACCTCTGAATTCTCGCACACAAACAAATCGAGCAAGACAAACAATACATGATGCTTCATGAGATTTGAAGAAATCTGATACTTCCTTTGCATACCCAGACCATAATGTACATGTTAAGCGTGTATCACTAAATATTTAAAATATAAAACAATATAAGATTATTAAAATAAAATAATATAAAATTAAAAGCTGAATAAAACTTACGTTATGTCACGAACTGTTAATTCCAGCTTAGTTGTTGATTTTCCTTTTGCCATGAGATCTTCTAAAGGTCCAACATTCACAACTTCACCAATAATATCTAAAACACAAAACATTAGAATAATGAACTGGTGAAAAAGAGAATATAAATAGGGACACATCAATTTAAAATACTATGATATAGAAAATTTACCGATCAAGACTTCTTTTTCATACTCACATCCTAATATTTCTTTAAAATATTTGAAATAATTATTTGGCAACTCCTTTGGAAAATTATCACAAGGAGTGATTTTGGTTGTTCTATAAAAGTTAATCTTAAAAGGAAGAGGATTCGTTCTATATTCTCTTGTATAATCACCGATAGTAAAATTATTCAGAATAATAGAGTCTCCTTGAAATAACTTAGATTTGAAGTTCCTAAGAGAATAATGCTTTTGTATTCTTTTGTTTAGATTCTGTTAACTCTCGATAATGACTAAGTTAGCGGCGCATAATCAATATAATAACCAACTAAAATATTTTGATAATGCT